TAGTGATGGTCACCAGGAGAAGCAGGGGGCCAGACAGAACCCCGGTGCAGACTAGTGCACCAAGCAGCCTCAGCGCAAGCAACCCCGTGGAATTCGTCTGGGCCAGAAGAGTCTTGTCCTGCAAGGGCAGGGGTGCTACCCAGGCTGCTGCGGCACGGCGCAAGGGACTGCGAGGGCTGCCCTGCCGCCCCTCACCGTGTGGCTAAGCCCTCTGCCAGCGCGCGCCCAATGCCAGCGCTCCCCCCTGGGAAGACGTCGCACGCTGGTCAGGGTGCAGATGCTTGCAGACACGCCGGGGGCTGTGAAAGGAGAGGCGGCTGCAGTCCCCGTCCACAGGAGCCAGGCCTCCAGCAGGCCAGAGATGGCAGATACAACGGCCAGCGGCCGTAACGGCACACAGGAGGCGGCTGCCGGGCTCACCCGAGATGATGGCGTACTGGCCGGTGAGGTCCACGTCGAGGTCCGCCTCGCTGAAGGACTGGGCATGCTTCCTGCACGCGCACCACCAGAGAGAGCACACCGTCAGGAACACGGCCAAGCCGGCACGCAGAAGCACGCCCAAGTTCCTGCCACCTTTCATCTTTCCTTCTTTTACTGCCGGTATGAAGAAATGTGCAACACATCCTGAAGCAACACAGCTTGTAGAGGAGTTTGAGGACAGGCTGAGCCACACAAGGGTTCATGTCTGTGAACTACCGCAGGATCACGGTGCTGAGCTGAGATATCAAAACTTCTCGCCATGTGATGGGAAAACAACCAGGTCAGAGGAATCATCTTGCAGTTCACCAGCAGCACAAGGTTTGCGCAGTGGGACAGGTCACCTACAGATAAGCATTCCGCGTGAAGTTCAAAGCTCCAGACCCAAGGAAGAGCGCCGCCCTGTATGCCTGTGAGAGGGCGAAAAGTGAGGAAGCGCAAGAGACGTAACCTACTACCAATCTAGGATGCAACAAAGTTGTGTGCAAACATGTGGCTGATTATGGATGATGGTTCACAGCTGAAGAAGATCTGCAGGTGCCAAAAGTAGATCGTCAATTGGGCCACTGCCAGCTTGCAGTGCAGCTCACTTGCAAGGCCATGCGCACTGCTGCTCCAGCACACCGCACCGCCACTTAGAGCTTCCTGAGCCCCGCAAAACCCTGAAGGCCTCGTGTCACTCTGAATGGGGCAATCTGATCTGGTATGAAGACAATTGTGCAGGCCTCAGGCTCAGGCTCAGCAGCTTGATCACCCGCCTAAGTATCCTGCAGTGTGAACAGATTGATCAGAGGCCTGGACCTGGGACCTATACATAGACTAATATTAATAGTACATGATAGGTTCTAGTATGAGTCTGACTCGAGCACCCAAAGGGAGTGCTCAGGATCTTCGGCAGATTTGAAGGCCGTTCGATTGAATTTGTAGGTCTGCAAAATTCCAATGGGTAAGATCTTACATAGCGGTAACGGTGGCTGCCCGACGTGGCGCGGTGTGACGCAGACTCGAATTGCAGGGAGTACTGTTACATATTAAATGAAGAAGAACCGTCGACAAAGAGGGCTTCAGAACTGGCGTCAGACCGCGTGCATAATTGTTAACGAATTGGTCCAAGCATCCAAGGAGGACCACCAAAATGGTGGCGAAGCGCCGCGCAATTCCGAAACGGGATGGAGAGGCATTTCTGATAGCTGCAGTGCTGGTCAGGTATCTCTTGATTGACGTTTAACAGCGGCGCGCCATGTGAAGTTTTTCGCCCTGTGTCTCCGCGCCAGCCATTCGCCGTGTCTTGAATGCAGTGCAGCTCAGCTGTGCGTGTGTTTCGCTTCCCCCTGATGCCGCTCGCTGCAGGCTTGGCCCGGGCTGCGCAGCCGCTGCCCCAGGGCGCTGCGCTGCGCCTGGCCTCCAGCGCTGGCCCTGCCACGTGCCACCACCCCGGCCATCACACCCTCACGGCCCTCCAGCATGCTCCGCTGACCTCACCACTGCCAGGCTGGGCTGCGGCCAACTGGGGGGGAGGGGCGCCATTTGCACTTGGAGGAACAGTCCAACCCCCACAGGCTGGGCTGGGGCACCATGCGCCCCTAGGCCTGGCATCCTCCCCTGGTGGCCCTGTGACCAGCGGGGCGCTCAGGTCGCCGGCGGCCGCGCGCGAACACTCCAGCGCTGCACACAGCCAGCGGGGGGAGCAGGGGTCGGGGGTACCGGCCATTGCGCCGCGCAAGCTGACCCCCACGGAGCGCCGGGAGCGGACGCTGCAGCGGCTCCAGGCTGCTGTGCACGAGACAGGGGTGCCTGGCCCCAGTGAGGGGGAGGTGCGTGGGGGGGTGGGGGTGCAGCTGACGTCGCGTATGCGGGGCCCACCCATCTGCCCGGGGTGCGGCGTGCAGATGCAGGACAAGCAGCCCGCGCTGCCGGGCTACTACCGGCGGCCCAAGGAGGAGCCCCGCGGCGACCAGGACCGGCTGGCCGCCAGGGTGAGCCGCGGCAGGAGCGCCCATCAGGGCGAGCCGCACTGGGGGCAGAGCTTACATGTTGTGTCTTTGTCAAATCTGTGAACTTGGGTGCAGCCTGGGCACTGTGTGATTGGCAGCATGCTCCCCCGTCCTTGGCCGCTCGCGGATTTCATGCGTGTTCTCATATGCCCCGCTGCTCTGTTGGCCTGCGCAGGTGCTGTCAGACGAGGAGGCGGAGGCGCTCAAGGCGCAGGGCCTGGTGGTGGAGGAGGCGGCCCCGCCCCGGCGCGTGGACCCTGCTGCGGAGTGGGACGCGCTGCTGGAGGAGGAGGAGCAGGACATCTCCGCGGAGGACCTGGCCGCCATTGGCTACAGCAGCGTGGACGAGGCGCTGGCCGGCCTGCGCACCGTGGCGCTCCCGCCGGGGCTGGACGCGGGCCTGCTGGCCAGCGCAGCGCAGCTGGACGGCTTCCTGGACGACGAGGACGATGCCGACGAGGCCGGGGGCCCAGCCCAGGAGCGGCGCCGGCGCGCACCGCGCGTGGAGCAGGAGGTGGAGCGGGAGAAGGCTGTGGTGTGCACGCGCTGCCATGCCCTGCGCCACACCGGGTGAGGGCCGCCGCCGATCTGCTCGCCTGGTCAGAGCGGCAGCCATGCTGCCCAGCAGGTCGGACTGGGCCCCGGCAACAGCGGCGAAGATGTTGAACCTTGCCACTGAGCCTGGTGCGACCTCCCCAAACGATGCACAGCATACAGGGGCCTGGCCGGGGTATGACGGGTCTCCTGTATGTGTGTGCAGGAAGGTCAAGGACCGGGCCCTCGAGAACCTGCTGCCCGACTTCGACTTTGAGCGCGTCATTGGTGGTCGCCTGCGCAAGACTGCGCCCGGCCGGCCTCGCCCCGTGGTGGCCATGGTGGTGGACGCAGCGGACTTCGACGGCTCGTTCCCGCGCCGCGCCGCCGATGTGCTGCTCCAAGTGGAGGCAGACAACCCCACCGCTTCGCCGCGGCTTGTGCTCGTCGTCAATAAGGTAACCATCGCACATCGAACTCCCGCAGCAGGCACACTAGTCGAGAAGTCATCCGCGCACGTGCTCATAACTTTGTCCTCCTATTCCCTCCATCCCGTCCTCGTGTCCTCGTACCTGCCACCCCCTGACCCTGCTTCCCGCCCCTCCTCTGCGCGCAGGTGGACCTGCTGCCCAAGGTGGTGGGCCACGTCCGCCTGGAGCAGTGGGTGCGGCGGCGCGCGCGCGCAGCGGGTGCCCCCCCTCTGGCGGCGGTGAGCATCGTGAGCAGCCTCAAGGTGTACGGCATCCGCGACCTGTCGCACACGCTGTGCACGCTGGCCGGCCCGCGCGGGGACGTGTGGGTCATTGGGGCGCAGAACGCGGGCAAGTCCAGCCTGATCAACGCGCTGGGCAAGGTGAACGAGACGCGGCGGCCCGCGCTGACGGAGGCGGGCGTGCCGGGGACGACGGTCGGGGTGGTGCCGCTGGACGGGGTGCTGCCCAACAAGGTGCGCCTCTTCGACACGCCCGGCCTGCTGCACCCGCACCAGGCCACCACGCGCCTCACGCCCGACGAGCTGCGCCTCGTGCTGCCGCGCAAGCCGCTCACCCCACGCACGTACCGCACCGCCGTCGGGCAGTCGGTGCACGTGGGGGGCCTGGCGCGCATCGACGTGCTGGCCGCGCCGGGCGCCACCATCTACCTCACGGTGTGGGCCTCGGCGGACGTGGTGACGCACCTGGGCAAGACGGCGACGGCGCAGGCCACGCTGGAGAAGCACTGCGGCAGCACGCTCGTGCCGCCGGAGGGCGACTGGGAGCGCGTGGCAGCGCTGGGCAAGTGGCAGCCGCGCACGATCGACGTGGCGGGGGACTCGTGGGAGCGCAGCAGCCTGGACGTGGCGCTGTCGGGGGTGGGGTGGGTCGGGGTGGGCCTCACGGGCGAGGCCAAGATCCGGGTGTGGACGTGGCAGGGCATCGGGGTGACGCTGCACGAGGCCATGGTCTACGACTTCTCCAAGGACCTCTTCCGGCCAGGCTTCGCGGGGGTCAAGGTGCAGTTCGGCCAAGTGGGGCCCGCCAAGAAGAAAGCGACCACGAAGTGACGGGATGCGGGATTGCGTTTCGGTCCAGTGCTGACCGGCTTGTAGTACCCTTGTGCTGCCCACCGATTTCACCTTTGAGTTGCGTACCTCTGCATTCAAGGTGCACCTTTGCTCTTTGAAGTCACTGCTCTTCCTATCAACCGCCACCGTCACCGTCACCTTCTCAAGAGTTAAAAGTTAACTGGGTGGCATTAGCCCGGCTGTGCGTGGATGGTGATGTTTCCCAAAAACTCACATCATCGCGTTAAAGAGGGCGTCAGACTAGGTATACCCCACGTCACGTGGCTGCGCGGCGACTTCATGCATGGCATGGGCACCACCTGCGGTGTCGCAACCAAAAGTATGTTGTCATGGGCATTGAGCGATCAAAACAGCTATGTACGGGCCTTTCTGTCGCCGGAGGTGGGACATGTCCCACGACGCCCTCTTTAAAGCCTTCCGGGCCCGCTTGTAAATTGCCAAGGGTTGGATCAATATGTTGGTAACCACGCTTTCCGTAAGCTTGGAGGCTATGCGATTTTGAATACTAAGAGGGTCCCCGCTCAACCATACACCACAAGATACCACTTGAGAATGTTCGGCCAATTGGCCAAACGGCCGTTCTTGATAACCTTGATCCAAGTTAGGTTATGAGGAGAAATCTCGAATCTAGCGGCCTTAATACAGATCAAGATTCACTTCATAAGTTTGATACTAGCTTCACTTTATAAGTTTGATACTATCTAATTTCCGTGACGAATGCAGTCAGCTGCTTCTACGTTTATGATGGGAAACAACATGGACTAAACTACTAGTTGAGTCTACTACTTCAATGTAACTATTCATTTAATGAAGTCTATTGTAGGTATTCATGTTCGTTCTTGGACAACAGCGGCTTCGAAAGTACACCTGGTAAGGTCTGGAACGGCCCTGTAACGTCATGCCATCTAGTAGCGCTGCGAAAGCAATATCGGCTATAGTATGCTGGCATCTACTATGTGCAACGTCTACAGAACTAGCACTCCTATGGGAATCACGTGAATTCTATTCGTTCGACAAATTCGGAGGGCTTGCAACGTAATTTGGCGCTATTAGAGAAGTTTTCAGAAGAGAGCGGTCTTTTGGGAAACCTGCAAAAGACGTAGAGTCGTCGTCTTTGGGGGCCAATTTAGCAGCCAGCGAAGGAAGCACACCTTTAGCTATGGTGGAGAGGGCATGGAAATCGTCCAGAGCTATCGATATCTAGGAGTCCAGGTCTGTTGCAACGGAAGGTTTAAGCAAGCAGTTCAGCATCTAGCGGAAGCGGGGCGGAAGGCAGCAATTTTGCAATGGACCGAAGGTGTGGCGAGTTGGGGTTGCGGAAGACAAGCACGAGAGTGGGTTTGTTTGATCATCTGGTCAGTCCAATCCTTGCGTACGGCGCGGAAGTCTAGGGTCCTGGCTACGGTCCGGTGTGGGGTTGGAGTGGCGAGGGGGACGGCCCAGAGAGGGTTCATCGGGCGTTCTTACGAGGTTTGCTTAGGGTTCGGAAATCAACGCTGTCAAAGGCCGTTTTAGGAGAGTTCGGTCGGTTTCCCTTGGTCGTTAAGCGATGGGCCCAGACTTTCAAATCTGTAAACCGGACGGCCAGCCTTCCCTTAGACTGACTAGCCCGTTTAGCGTTCGAAGAGTCGAAAGAAATCTGGGCACCAAACAAAGGCGGGTGGTATGCAGAGGTCGTAAGAAAAGCCTGCGAAAGTTGTGTCGATCGAGGAGAGGACAGGTGTCCTGAATCCTGTTCTACCGTCAAGAAAGGTCTGAAATGGCATACATGCAGGATCTAAGGGAGGGATACGGTCGAAAGTACTGCACGTATTTTGAGTCTGTCAAAGAGGGATATCTATTTGAATGCTATCTAGATCAGATTGGTGTGTCTGAGTACTTCGCCACACTAGCCAAATTCAGAGTAGGAGCCCATAGACTGGCCATAGAAACAGGGAGTTGGCAAAACCGAAGAGCGTAGCGAGCGGATCTGCCACGTTTGCAACACCGGGGCGGTAGAATCAGCAGGACATTTCGTGTTTGAACGCCCTGCCTATAGTGATCTCCGCTTGGCTTTCTATCACGTAGCCGAAGGATAGGGACGATAGAGATTTAAAAGCTTTCCTCAATATGCAGGATAAATCTGCAGTTGGTAGATACTTGCACCTAGCATTAGAGAAGCGAGCTAACATCTTAGAACACTCGTCGACTTAGGCGGTCACCACTCCGAACCGACGTTTAACCAAATTACAATTACAATCTATATCTAGTCATCAATCATTCACATGTTATGGCTTCGATCAACGGTCCTATACCTGTGCATGTGCCCGGCCACAGTCACAATGAGCTTTGTCATGGTCTTGATGATGTTGTCACCACTAAAAAGATACCTGGCTTCATAAACGTCACAACTAGTGTTCAACAACCCCGAATATCTTGGCGCACAAAAGTAGGCATCTGTGCTCAAAAGCGCCACACACGAGTGTGCGGAAGTGTGCGGCTGGTCCGCACAATTCTAAATTGTACGTAGAAGTGAGACCTTGCGCGACTTTCTTGGAGATATCAAACCTACCCGTAGAATGGCAGAAAATCGCAAAGTCACACCGAGCATGCGGTTTTAAACGACTCCGAATCGTCTATGAGAAGTTCGGAGTACTCAGCGGAGAGTATAAGTTCTAGATCTGGACAGGAAAAGGTTGCAAGACTACGGTATGAGATGAAAAGCAGCAGATAAACATGGTAAGTCATTAGAACAATGTGTTTATCTCACTGTAGTCATATTGCTGAGTATTAATTGGCCCCGCAAGGGAGCATTTACTCAAACGTGTTGCGTTACAGATTGTTGGGGCTGCTCCGAGGGTTGATCCTACCTACCCAGTAGAAAGACTAGTTTATGCGGTCTTTAGGGTAGTACGGTCTAAATTCTGCCTTACATAAGTGGCGGCTGGCCTTCAGCCAACCGCACAAATCTCAATTCCACCGGTCCTTGTTCCTGACGATTGCGCAACACGCCGTACACTGAGATCCACAACATACATGTAAAGTATGCCGAAAACCAATTAAACTCGAGATGTTTACGCGCCAATCGGTTCTTTCAAAAATGTCTCGATTGTTTCAATGAAGTGGGAGATTTGCATTCCGCCCAAGTTATAGGAATTAAATGACCTTACAAGTTCAATAATCCTCATTCACTGGACTTTATTGAATCTGTGCTTATGAATCAATTCACCTTATTTGAAGCAAACACAAACGAATGCAGCCCCACCTTATGGACATGTTTCTTGATCAATGGTCTACGTTTTCGCTGCTTAATCTCGGGTCTTTGATATTTGAATCGTGCACATCGAGCAGGTTAGCACACGGCCTTTTTGAGATAGATTGTTGTCTGTTAGATCGTCGTACCATTGGCATGCACTTATCACCCATGAAGTTGTATACGGTAGCATGTACGCGAAGGTGACGACATCGCATATAATATATCAATACCCTTAACTATTGAACTTGCAAACCAGCTATAGGATGATCAAAGTTACACTCTAGTATAGGCTGATGTGCATATTGTTTGGAAGCTTAACGAACGTCCTATTTCCATGCTACGTCGAATTTCGTTGCTACAACTGTTGCCCATTTTCCTTAGAGCTACTAATCGATCCTCAATATCGTCACAAGCTTACACGCTTTTCCTTTTTGTCGGCCAACCATCATTGTGTAGTCGCTTGTGATTTCTGTTCCAATTTTGCTTCGTTCACTTTATCTTTCTTGAAAAGCAGCTCCACATGTGTCAGTTGCTACGGGTAAACGTATGCTAGTGTGTCTTCCACTTCGACTAGTCCCCCTTCGACCACTTCGATATTAAACCTACGTTTCTTCAATCCTCTGTGATTGCGTGGGAATGAATCTTGCTTCGGTTTCGCTATCCTTGCCGTGTATGTGATCCCCCACCCCCACAATTGTCATCCTTATCCCCACTTCGTCAAACCGTATCCCTACTTCCTCAAAGTTTTTGCTTTTTTACGAACTGCCGTTCCCCACCCCTTCAAAAATGGTATACAAAGCTTTATCGTGAGCCGTTTTGAATGTCGTTTACCTTTTAGGTAAGTGTCCCGTTGCTGCTTGAGATCCAATTCTCGATACTACGAATCTAGAAGCAGGATTTGTCTTCTACTTCCAACCGAAAGTACCAGCTCTTGTCCATAAGTACGGACGGAATGAACCACACACTTGACTCCATGCTGACTAAATAACGAAAGACCACTGACAGAACCTCGTTAATAATGGAATTTGTGAGTACCGTTGAGATGGGGCCAGATTGTGTCGTGGTCATTCGTCATCGGGTCTTACGGCATAGTGCCCCGCACTCATGCTCTATCAAGATTCGGGCAGTTAGTGTGCGCGGTCTCTTGGGTGACGTCGACGAGGAGTTCGACGATAAACGGTAGTCAGCGGTTGGCGGTTAAATGCGTGCGGGTTACAGCGTTACACTTGGATGACTTATTGAGACAACCGCCGTAACGAAAAGGTTCGATAATAGCCGTAGATATTCAGATTTGCGCGAAAGTTTTGGATTTGCTTATCCGCGGTCAACTGAGTCTACTGGGCTATCAGTGTAGACCTAGACTGGGAGTGTGACTCTACTTGAGTGAGTCTAGCATAGCACACGGACTACAGAGCTTTAGCGCCGCTAAACACTCGATATTTATCATGTGAGAATTGATCATTCGATATTCATTCCCAACAGCGCCGTGTTCCAACAGGTTAAGGGCCTACGGCGCACAACGACGCACCACGCGCCTAGGGAATGAGGGCGCAAGCATTCAATAGTAAGCCTCCAGGAGGTGAATATTCAATCTGTGCGCCAAGGTCGGCCGTTGGTCAATGAAGGCACCGGTGGGGGCGGTCTGCTTTGTTTTTGAGCAAAGCCACATTGAAAGCCCTTAAGGGGGATCAAGTGGCAGGGAAAGCTAAAAAGGAAATCTTCCACCTTTGGTCGTGAGGAAAAGGATATTAAATTAAGGGGAACGCAATCCCTGAAATGGCCGACGGATACAAGATCCACATTGATAAGTTGGACTTGGAAACTATAGAACGTGGAGTTCGGAGCTTGAGTTTCTACTGATTTCCAAAGATCTATGGGATGAGGTTGAAGATCCCGCAGCGCACCCAGCTCAACCAAAAAAGCGTTGACCATCATCGGGCTGAACGTTGAGGTCGATTGAGTCGTGCAAAACCGCAAAGGAGGCGTGGGATCTCCTTGAGAAGACCTACAAGAGTAAAGCCAATGCAAGGAAAATGCAGCTTAGGCAGCAGTTGCATTCTCTAAAGATGAAGTCGGGTGGGCCTGTGACCATGTATGTGGGTCTGGCGAAGGATTTGTACAGGGCCTCGGTCGCTACCGGTTTTGAGATGAAGCCGGATATGTTGGCGTGGAGCTTGCTTGCGGGATTGCCCAAGACGTTTAGTACCCTGGAAACAATTCTAGAGGCTTTGAAGAGCGCCAGAAGCTCGGTGGATGCGATTCTGCCAAAGCTCTTGGTGCATGAGCAGGGGTTTGAGGAGTCGCTTAAGGATAAGGGCGGCGGTGGTTCGGACTCCGCTATGGCCTATGTGGCCCCGGGCGGAAAGGAGCAAGGAGAAGGGCCACGGCAAGGATGAAAGTCGGGGCAAAGGTCCCAAGTGCTATAATTTCGGGGAGTTTGGTCACATTGCCCGGATGTGTAGCAAGCCGGACAAGCGGGAGCACAAGCCGGAGCAGAAGAAGGGGGGGAATCCTAACTAGGACAAGAGCCTATTTGAGACCCTCGCAATGTTTGAAGGGAGTGGCCGAGAATTCACGTTCAGCGCCAAGGGAACCCTATGGGCAGAGGGGAGCGGCTCGGTAGAGCTGCGCTGTGCGACACCAATCGGAGAAAGTCTTGTCACTTTGCAAAACGTACAGTATGTCTTGGGGGTTGGGGCGAATTAAATCTTGGTTAGCAAGGCAACCGAAGTCGCATCGGTGTTGTTAAAGGAGAACGGCAACTGCGAGCTTGAGGTTGACAGGGAGGTAGTCCTTCTTGCTCGGAAAGTGAAGGGGATCTACGTGGTCAACGGGGCGGAGAAGGACACGTGCTTCCCTGTGAAAAAGCCGGAAATCGGCGAGTTGTGGCACCGACGGTCGGGAGACGCCGGATGGAAATTTATCCTCAAATATTTCTTGATACTATGCACAACTCGGTGGTATGCAGGGCGACCTCGTGGAAGGGAGGGTTGAAACCGAGTGCGTTCAGGGCCTTAAAGCCTTGGTGTGTGAGCCTGCATTATGGGGAAGCAAATTAGGCTCCCTTCCCGGAATCCGACTCGTGAGCACAGAGCCTTTTGAGCTAGTCCACATGGACGTCTGCGGACCAATGCCGGTAGCCTCGGTAGGGGTAAGCCGTACTTTGCCACGTTCTTGGACGACTACAAGAATGAAGCAAAAGAGTGAGGTGGCCAAAGTGACAGAGCGGACAATAAACCGGTTGGAGTTGCAGTCGAGGAAGAAGCTCAAGTCGGTGCGAACAGATCAGGGCAAGGAGCCTCGTCAATAAGGCCCTTGAAGACGTTTTTGGGAGCAAGGGGACGGTTCACCAGAAAACCGCCCCCTACAATACCGAGCAAAATGTGTCGGCGGAACGGCTCAAGCGGGATAAGGACAAGACTCGGGCGATGCTCGAGGACTCGGGGGTGCCCAAAGAATCGTGGGCGGAAGCCGTGGTGACGGCCAACTACACCCGGAACCGGACGCCCGTGAGCGCACATGGGAAGACCCCCTGAGAGGCGTTCTTTGGTGAGAAGCCGAATGTCCGGCGTATGAAGTTTTTTGGGGCCAGAGCGTTCCGCCACGTCCTCAAGCAGCGGAGGCGTAAGCTACAGAAGATACGGTGAGCGAGCGATGTGTGTTCGTGGGGTACGAGCCGGACTCGAAGGCGTATAGGTTGCTCCGGAACCGTAACGGGAAGTGAAGCATCTTTCGAGACGTTATCTTTGACGAGGGGCATCGGGGGGAATGGGATTGTCGAACTTGGCTCCGACCCCACGGACGGTTCTAGAAGGCGGAGGGTCACGGCGCAAAGGTTCACACGGGGGTTTACGGGGGGACCAAAGTTGAAAGTTGAATCTCTGCGCCGGGGCGACCTGGCCGCGCGCGCGCCCGACGATCCGCGCCGCGCTCGCTTCCACAAAGGCCAAAATGAGGGCAAGTTTGAAATTGTGCGCGAAGACAGGGCGCAGAGCCGGAAGAGATTGAGGAGGAGACCGGGATGTATCCCGCGTCTGAAAGATGCGCACCTGAGGAGTGGTACCGTGCTCACTTAGCGGCGGAACCGAAAGCGGGGG